TAGCACTGTTACCCTAGCACTCTGTGTGCCAAATGAAGTCATTAGCAGACTTGAGATCTATCAACCATCTGTGTCTTGTATCTGTTCATCCTCAAATGGGAAGGAGATATCACAACAGACCTACAATGAGGGCGGTGGTGCTAGGAGGTCTCTGGGGCACGTCTTGGTCATTTGAATTAGTCTGTCCCTTGCATAGCATTTACTGCCCACCCCTTCCACCTGGCTAATGCCTGAGTCTCTTGAGAAGCTTGTTTACAACATGCCAACTGGTTACAACATCTTTTGTTAAATATTCGCTAGTGTTCAGGAATATCCAGCCAGCTTTCCTGTGGAAGGGAAACTTAATAATCCATGAACTTGTTTTTGTTTTTTTTCATCTTTAATTTACATTACATTGAGTTCATAAATTAGGGGGAAAAGTTCTGGCTTTCTTCCTGCTGGTGGGTTAGAATATGCCAGCTGTGACACACCATTTACAGAGATGGCTGGAGTCATTCTAGATCAAAGCTGAAAATGATATTGGCCTTATTGGTGCGATGTGTCCATTGTTAATCCTTCTTTGAGGTTTTCTTGTGCACATTACAAGAACTACCTCACGGTGCTGCAGTAACATACAGGGACACATGGAGACAAAATGATTATTATTAGTCCAGGTATTTGTAACTTGATTTGTGCAGCAATCTTTAACCACTAATATTTTTTTTTTTTCTTCTCTTGCTTCCCCTATGCAAATTTTCCGTTGTCTTAGTGTCTGAAATCCCAGATCTGGAGTGTCCTGCTGTTGGGTCTACGTCTGCTTTATTTAACCCAAATGCAAATCTGTAGTGTAAAGTGATACGAACGAGGTCTGAACTGTGGCCACAGTCACCCACAATCAGTAGGAGGGCTTTGGATTAGGATAGGCAGAACTGAATGCAAATCCAAGGCAATATGTTGCCAAACTGAAGCCTTCATACCCTGTCAAATGCGAACACCAGAATTAATCTTCACGGCTCTCCATTGGACTGCAAGTTTGGCACAGGCAGAGATTGCTTAGACAGTACCTCCAGATGTCCTGGGAGCAGAGACCTCCTTACGAGGTAAATTGCAGAGTTCTCGTATGCTATTTGGAGAGGAAATAAAACATAACAGATTGCAGCAGTTTTTGTTTGCTGATGAAATATGCGTGAGAATGGTGGTCAGTCAGTAAAGCTGTTTTACCCTCTGTGTGTTTACCAGGCTGGGAAGGATTATGTCATCTTCTTGGGTTAACTTATGGGGTACAGTATACCTCTCTAAAACACATGCAGTCTCTCAAAGAACAAATCTTTTTATTTAAATCAATCAGGATACATTATAATATTGTTTGTTGCTTGAAATAGTGATTCTTTTTAAATAATCTTGCAGGATTTATTGTCACATTTAAATTGTTGGTGAATGGTATGGGCAATCAATCTATGATGATAAACCTTGAGAGCTTTGGGATATTCTTAAAAAAAGTTTTGCATTGTGGAGACTTGAAAGCCTGTGAATCTCCTGTGAGAATTTGCCCTCGGTTCTCATGGTGAGAAATGTGTTATTTCAGAAACTGTAGAAATGGCAAGGAATTTGACTTTGCAACTTTGGAGTTCCAAAGTATGTGGACATTTTTCCTTATTTGTAGGTCTAGCAAACTCTGAGTACTCTGTTCAGTCTCCATATGTAGATATGCATTCATAGTGCTATGGCATTGGACAGAGAAGAGTTTTTAGAGGAATCATAAGGGACAAGTTGAACTGCAGCATAAATTAAATAACCAAGATAGATGATTCTACAGGAGTTAAGATGACAAAGGCCATGCCTCTGTAAGGAAGAAACTCTATTCTGAAGCAGCGTATTGCCCCATATTGTTTATTCTTCCTTATTTCAAAATCTGGGTTCACAGAGAATCAGAACCTCAAAGATCATTGTATCAAGAATAAGATGGTTCAGTAAAGGCAGAAAAAAAAGGCAAAGTGATGATGGAACCTGAAAGCAACACAATAACAGAAGAAAGGCATTGTTTGCTTTGTTTTGTTTTCCATAGAAATGGGGTTAGTTAACTTCCAGTCACAGCAGGTTTTGATCTGTAACCAATTTCCTCACTTTGTCTCGAAACAGGCAGTGTACCTGTGGTCTTCTCAACAGCACTGGATGCTCCAGTTTTAGCTGGTATCTGAGCTACACATAAAAGTCAGCAAATCCTAGGAAGCGAAGCTAGGAAAATGGATTTTTCTTCGGGTTTTGTGTAAAAGAAATTCCTTCTTTTTTTTTGTTTCTTGTGAGATGTGGTCTAAAACATTAACTCCTATGGTGGCCGTTGGACTGAAATCCCAGTACTGCCCTTGGCAGGACTCACATTTAACTTTGAGAAATTAGAAACTTCTTAAAAGTTTTGTGAATAGAAATGATGTGGAGAATATTCAGATTTTTAGAAACTTCATAAGAAATTTGAAAGAGAACCAACATCCCCACCTCCAGGTGCCAGACTGTGGAGTTTTCATCTTTGATTCCTATTACCAGCTGCAAACTATCAGTGCAGGATTGTCATTATGTCAGAATTTCATACACCATAAACGATGAGATACTACTTCCTACCTTGCTTCCTCTGTCTGCATTTGTTGAGGACAAAGAACAACCACAACAAAGGGCGATATCTGTAATGCACTCCGTATGAACACTGCTGGCTAATTCTTGTTTCCATACCTGAGCTTAACAGTGGGGAAGGATTGTCTGCAAGGAAGCTAAACAAATCCCACAGCACTTTAAACTTCTTATGCCTCTGGTTGGACTGTGACTAAAGTTATATAGCCCAAAATTCGTATATTTCTGCCTATGTTTAGTCTAAAGCCTAAATACCTTTTTAGATGTGGTCCTGAATGCTTCTGATTCCCAGTCCCCTATGTGAAACTGCAAATAGTTAGAAATTAGATGGTATTGCACTACTTCACTGGGATATTGAGATGCAACTGTATACTCTGAAGATATCTAAACCGGAGAAGTTAAAAAGTGCCTCACAGAGAGCTACTTCTGAAAGACACTCTTGATGTCTGAATCTCAGAGCGTCGATTCATCTCACATTTTTCTTTACATATAATCTATAAAAACCTAGTGTGTTCTTACAAAAAGCAAAACGCTTGTGACTTCTGTGTATGAAATTTTTCACACAATAGAATGCATACCTATGTTAGGAAATGATGAAATAGTCTCTATAGCTCTTAATTCTATAACTCCAACATTCAGTGTTGTTAATATAAACAGTTTTATGGTAATAATAGGAGATCTGCAAGGAAGAGGGATTCATTTACTTCTAAGAGATGTCTGACCTCTGCTACTTCATAATCCGTTAGAGAGCACTGAGGTCCACATAAGCGGGCTTTCTTTCTCCTTTACCTGGAAGGCATTATTTTTTCAATAAATACCAAAATCAAGTCAATATTTTTAAAACTACTATAATTGCCACTTTAAATGGACTAATCTTTGCTCAGAAGTTGTCTGATACTTTGTGTCCAGTGCCAGTAGAACAGAAATAATTAAGATGTATGCATTTGGTAATTGATGGGGAACATTTGAATGGGTTACATAAATAATAGACCAATCATAGTATTGTCTAACCGTTTAAAAATAAATAAATAAACACAAGCCTTACTGCATGTGCATTTATTTAAATTACCGTTGCTGTCAGAATTTATGAGAAATTTTGAAAGAGGGTTTCTTTCTCACCTTATGGTTAATGTTCTCATAAATAATAATTCATCAATTCTGTAAGGTAAGGTGTACGATTAAATTGTTCAGTGTACCACTTTAAAATAGAGGTGCGCATTTACTGTTCTGGGCAATTATTCTATGGATAAAACTACAACTTTCAGATCTCATTTTCAGATCTGCCAAATCATACTCTATCTCATTTCTGTTCTAAAGAAAATAAATGGCATTAGTAATTGAATGTTATGCAGAACAGGCATAGGACTTTGCATAATACTTGCATGTACAAGAAGTCTTTTTCTTTATCAAGTGTTTTATTAGTATGTCATTGATAACTGAACAGGAACTAATAAAAAAATATATATTAAAAAAAAAAAAGCAAAGAAAACAGTCATGTCCCTTCCCCATCCTCCCCACAACAAAACCAACAAAAAATAATTGAGACATATTAAAAGTTCATTAGGAGCTGCATTCTGGTTCTTGTTTAAGCCCATGAAAGTGATAATTGCTAAGCATTTACAAATTTCTGATCTATCACCAGGACACTTCAGTCTGATAATTTGGGGTTTGGCTGTATCTTCTTGCAATGAACTTTCGTTCTTCTCCACTGTCTTCTAAAACCACTTTAGTTTTGTACGAGTGTACAAGGGAAGAATGCACTATCAAGCTGAATATTTGAGGTGAAGTGAAAGATTATAGTTCTCTTGAACAATAATTTGAAGATGATTTTGTGTGATCTTATACATGCAAACCAACATATCCATAGCGTGAAAGATGGACTATTGCACAAACTTTGCATGTATTTATGCCTATATCACATTGCCAAAGTCAAAACTGCTCTTTAATTCAAGGCTCTGCCATATATATTCTTTGGGCTCTTGTAGTACTCATTAAAAGGTCTGTGACAGCCTGGCATCAATAGAGTACCAGAATGGAAACAGCCACGCTTTTCACCGGCCTTATCTGCTGTTATCTGCTGTGTTGTTTCCAGGCTAAGCTTCTCAGCCTCTGTGTAGGTTTTTTCCCCCCTCTGAACAGGAAGATAGGGCCTCTGCATGTGTTTAACCCCACATTTTTGCAGGATACTAATATTTCTGCTTTTAATTGACTGCAGTTTTACAGGAGAGTGTGTCCCAGATGTGATTGCTCTCAAATGAAAGAGCACCAGTGTTGGACTTGAATGTTTCCCATCCAATTACCAGTTGCCCCTTCATTTTATTTTGAAAGTTTTTTTTCATCTGAGTATGGAGTTTCCAAGTTACTCTGGTAATCCTGGATTTTTTCCCTTGTTTTCACAGGTGACCTGTAACTGTTTCACCATCAGTAACGGAGAGATGCAGGATGTTGGTGTTGGCCTGTATCCCAGGTAGTGTGAACACTGTTTCATTCACAGGCAAAATCTATGTTAGGTTTTCTCCTTTTTTCCTAGGTAGCTTTAAGGGCCATAAATGTAGCAGGTAACATGTCCAAACAAGAAACTGGGAAATGGGAATAAATTATAGGAGAATGAAAAAAATCATCAAGTTGAAAAAATTCTTAATAGTCCCAATTACAGATTTAAAACAGTTTAAATAGAATATGTCTTTAGATTTTATTTTTATTGAGGTGGTAGTCATTTCTAAGTAAAAAAAAAAAAAAAAAAAAAAAAGCTAATGTTAAAAACGTGTGACTAAACATTCCTAACAAGTAAAAGGAAGTGTGTTCTATGTTGCTTTGGAAGGCAGATATTTTGCAGCCAAGAGTCTTCTGAATTGGCAATGAAAAGAAAAAGATCAAATGTGTATATTAGCAAATTACCATAACTAAGAAACCAGTAAAGTGAAAAGATAAGCCCCTTGAGAGATGGATGTTAGTATTCGAATTATTTCTTATTTGTATTAGTTAAGAAGGATGTATGAGGGAAGGTTTTGCCTTCATAGGTACCTGCAACTATTAATATGGAGCACATAAAATTGAGCAGAAAAAATATAATTTTCGATTTATTTTTTTGTGAATATAGGGTTGAACCATGTTGTCAGTATCTAAAGGGGCCAGTCATTGTTGTTGCTTTTCCTACTAAGGTCATGTGTGCAAGATTTGACTGAGGACAAACGAGGCCTGCTTGTGGTAAAGATAAGGCAAAGGCTACTAGGAGGACATGGGAACTGGTGTTATGAAAAATACGGAACATTCATCTGATTTCATAGTGGAATGGAAACAAATCTTTTCACATACTTCAAAAAAAAAAAAAAAAGGAACAGTATTTTAGAGCATTGTTATTAGTGAAAGGTTTTCTTTTGGTTGACAAAAAGCCCCTGACTAGGAAGAAAGTGGCTATCTGTGTTCTGTGATAATGCCCCGTCAGGGGATACAAGGGACCCTTTCCCAATTCAGTTCACAGCAGCTTTAATTTTGCTGCTTCAAAACATTCTGAGATGGGAAAATTGTGAACTTAAACTGCTGGTTCCCAAATTCTAGGCAAATGCCCTTCCATCTGGGCTGCAGCATGTAATAAGGTGAGACAGTCTACACTTCCAGGTGAAATTGTCATTATAACCATTAGAGTTTCCACAAGATGAAATTTGATTAAGAATGCTTCGTATAGTCTCGTTAAAAGGTTGTATGTTGTTGCATGGCTTAATAGCTTCAGCATCCCAATATATTTTAAAACAAAATCCTATGGTACCTCTTTGCATCATCTTGCCAGCAGGAATAGGCCCAGTGATCTCACTTAAGTGAAATGGAAACCGTCTCCCAGAGTATGCTATTGAGTTCATGCGGAGACTCACCACTGATATTTTGTGAGGCTTGAAGGGCTATCAAAAGATTTAAGGTCCTTTTTATAACCCTTTAAGAGTCAAGAACTGAATAAATATGGGCCGTGACCCTTGGTAACATCCTTCGTTTTGCCAGATGCATTGGGGATCCTGAGTTGCTGAATCAGGCAGATGGGGAAAGTAATAAAGGCAGCCAAAAGATGGATAAGCCAAAAATTCTGCTTCCAGCCTGAAGATGCCAGAAATGGTCTTTCAGTGGGTCATTCCCATAGAAGAAGAAACATCAGACCTGAGTCAGCTATGAAACTGTTCTTGGTCTGGCAGAGTCGATTGTTTCTCAGCTAGTAAAATGTGGAAATCAGAAGTACTTGGAGGAGGATGTTCTTATGTGCCCTTTTAAAAGAGGGAAGGTCCCACTAAGGGCCAAGGTAATTGGTAAGGTGTATGTTATTAGTGCCCTGAAACTGAGCAGAAGCAGCAGAAATAAGACACAGTTCTACTGGACAAATCTTTTATTCTGAACTGTTCTAAGCTACATTGTTGTCAGCTTGCCTGCTTTGCACTCTTCCCTGAGAAAAGCTTCTAAGAGAGTCACTGGGAGTCCATCTCCTTCCTCCCCTGCAGAGTACAAGGAGGGAAGGAACACGTAAACAGGTTCAAGAGTGGCTCCTATTAGAAAATTTATATTCATTGCTAAACATTAATTTTTCTCCCCTAACCAAGAGCAGCTGATTTACCAGGGATTTTTTTGGATAGCTATTTTTAAATTATGTCCACCGTAATGGCAGCGAACTAAAGTTCTTTCACTCTCTTTCTCCAACTCTACCACCATTTGCAGCATGTCTTTACTGAATCACAGCTGTGACCCAAACTGTGTGATCGTTTTTGAAGGATACCAGCTTTTACTTCGCTCAGTCCGAGAGATCCAGATTGGTGAAGAGGTAATTAACTTGTCCTCCCTTCCATCACAGACACCTGCAACAATGACATCTCCCTAAATAAATTCCAGACTGCAGGGCCACCAGCTTAATATTTTGATGATATATTGATGCCAATTTCTAGCACATAGCTATCAGGGAGAAAATGATAAATAGAATCATCTCTTCACACTGCCTGGGCCCCATAATCATTACTACTCATAAATCACCAGCAGTCTTGATAAATTCTTGTTCCTCTTTCCTCCTTTAGGCACTTCATTTTGTTTGTATTTGGATGTCTTTACCCTGATGGAAACACTTAGAATATTTCTGGGTGGAATGCAGTGTTCACTAAGTCAGGGCAACAATAAGCATTTGTCAGGCTGTAACCATGCTATTGTTGTAAACCTTTCATTGACAGAGAAAGTAACAATGTGAGGTTTGTTTTCTTGTTCATTTTACAAGGGAAGACTTCAAAATATCCCTCTCGAGAGATTTCTGATTTTGATCTAAGTTATTGTCAGTTTTGTTTTTAAGACAGCATTTGTATTTCTTTTGAAAACAATCATTTGTGGCTAGGTAACCATTTCAAAGGAACTGTCTTTCAGAGCAACGCAATGCAGAATTTGCTTAGTAAGGCCTGCAAAAACAGGTATATATGTAACTTCACATGCACCAACGACCTATGCAGGTCTAGCTCTTGGTTATTTCAAAATCATGATCTTATGTAAATGCAGTTCACGTTTGTGCTTCAGTCTCTGGGAAGATCAAGGATTTATGTACTCTAATTTAGGAACAGTACCTCCTTTTCTCACTATAAGTTGTTTTTTTGTTGTTGTTGTTATTGTTGCTTTTGTTTGTTTTTTAATGCATCCTTTTTCTAAGATATGTAAATGGTAAAATATATTTGTAGGCAAAATAGTGTGGAGAATCAACAGAAATGCTTTTGCTTGTTTACTTTACCAAGAGAAATCTTCTAGGGTGCAATTTTGTAGACCTAGTAAGTGTAGCCATTATTCTGTCTGGCATTCTTGTTCAAGACAAATTATGTGTGTTTTTCTTGCATTTTATCTATATATCTTTGCTTTCCCATTCACCAAGATGTGTTATTTATCTAAATATACAGTGGATTGTAATGTTTTCCCATGATGTATTCAGGTTAATTACTAGAGTTCTAAAATCTTAATTTCGTGTACACGGGTATATTTTTCCAAATAAATTTTGTAAATCAGTTCTTTGTAACAAGCAGCTTTTGCACAGTGGAAGAGGCACTCAGGTAGCCTCAGAGTGGTTCTGGAGTGAGAAGTGAAGTAGAACATCCTTGAATGTATGGATGTCACTTGGTAGTTCTACAGCTGTGAAGCAATGACCCAAATTTCACACTTTGTTTTAGGGGTCTATGACCCACAGAAGTCTTCAGGTTAAAATCAATGGTGGAATAGATATCGTGCAAGTTATAAGTCATTTGTAAGGCTATAAATATAAATGGTAAAACAGGGCAGCTAGAACCACTTAGTTTACAGTGACTTGGACAGCTGCATGAATGTGAGCTTTAAAATGACTGCACCTTATGTGAACATATCATTTTCTAAAACACTTTTCCTCAGAAAGTCAGAATTTTCTTTAGAGCCCAGGTTCTGGTTTACTTGGTGCAATAATTGCTCCTAGTTTTGGTACTTAAAGGAAAACTTGCCTTAAAGAACATCTAAGATATATATGTCCTGTATTAAATTGAGTGCTTCAAATTTGTTTCTTCAAATAAGGATGTGTCTAAGGAAGAAAAAGGAGCATAAGTGAGAAAGATGCAAAGGATGCATTAGTTTAGATCTATTAGGGTAATTTGAAGGGGAAGAAAATTATGAGTGTATATATACAAGTTAGCTGTTGAAAATTATTTTTAACACCCAATTAAGTTTCTTCTTATGCAACTGCTGTTGTTTTTCATTCTATCTGTGCTCTGCATGCTAGCTGTGGTAAAGCTCCTTTCTACACTGCCTTACTGCTTGCCTGTGGCAGGGTGGGTCTCACTTTTCTTACTAGCTGTGTATTGAATTTAAACACCCGTGCAAATGGAACCATGTTACCTGTTCTGGCCTGAATTTTCCTTATATTACTGAGGTCATGATCTGAGCCAATAGGAGAGAAAATACATGTTAGGGAGGAATCTGATTGAGTTTTCTGAACAAATCAAGTGTTCTCAGATAATATGATTGGCCTTGTGTCAAGCCATGAGGCAATAAGGAATCTTAAATAATTATCAGCAGTAGAAAAGCAGGTTAATTCTGGAATCACACTTATGCCTTAATCATACATTAGAGTGCTTGTGCTATGAACAGTAATTACATTGATCATTACTGAAAAAAAAATGTATGCAAGACTATGACAAGCTCAATTTTTATTTTTTTTTATTTCATGATGGGAGTTGTTCCAGTTCCCTTTTGGTCTTGTGTCTACATAGACATTGTTGATTTGCATGTTTTTCACAGGAAGCCATGTGGCATTTAGTGGTTTTTAATTAAATTTTGGTTTGGGCTTTGAAATTTGTTCAATGCAAAATGTATATCAGGTAGTAGGAAATTAGGACTTTTCAGGCAGAAGAAAATGTTTGCCTAAATCCTTATAGAGTGAAAGCGCTAAATTTCATGGTGTTGTATATTTTGAAAACTAATCACTCCTAAAATCACATTCTACCCATGTAGTCCTTTTTTTGTGGTAAAGACAGTGTTGCAGTCCTGAAGCGCTAAGAAATTATGAGTCATGAGTGTTACTTTTTCGTAGGATCTGAAAGAAGTGATTCCTGTGTAATCACTTGGTTTCCAGAGCTGAACCTTTAGGAAAACAAAATGTATTGCAGGAATCATAATAAAATACTGGAAGTTGGCAAGAAAGAGAATTGTCTGTTCCTTACATTTTGTTTTGTAAACCAAGTAAGTTCAGATTTATCTTCAGGTAAATTGTTTGGGTTTTACATTAATGTGGTTCTGTGGAATTGCATGCTTTTTGAGAGCAGAAAGTTACAATTTTAAACAAAAACACAGTTTTCCCATTGGCTTTTGACTGTGAATGCTTTATTCAGTGTTCAAAATAACAGCTTTCATTTCTATCATTATGTAACTCATTCATCTGTTTAAATGGCATTTATAATCCTCACTAAATGTAGAATTTTTAAAGTGAAACTTTAAAAAGGAAAGGTTTTTAAGAAGGCAAGGTTGAAGGAAACATCCTTCAACCTTGGTAGCCTTTTGTTTTTTCTTCCTGTCCTGACTCATTCTCTTATAAGTCACATAAGGCTGTATGGTTCTATACTAATACCCCCAGATTCTAGTGCTTGACCAGTTGGCAATGATCACTACTGAATTTAAGTATTTTCTGTTCTGCATCTGGCATGAATGGAATAAAGCAGGTAGGGACAAAAGAAGTGAAAGGAAGACAAGGCTTCAGTGCAATGATTTATCTCTCATGCGTGGATGGGGGAGGTTGGCCTAGAAAGAGTCTCCTAACAATATATAGATTCTACCCTGTACCAGGTTTCTGAGCATAATTGTATATAATGGCAGGAAGAAAGAAATAAGGATTTTTGTAGAGTTTTTATTCTACATGTCCCTACTTAAAAAGCTACAAGACTTTCTGAAATTTGCTTCCAAAAACTCAAAACTAATTATAACACCTTTTTCCTCCTCAAGATAACAATTGTTGTGGTGCTATCAGAGCTTTTGTTTCTTTACGTAATATTACTTCAACAGTATATAAAGATTTCAATTGATTTTTTTTCTTCATTACTGTGTCTACCTGGTGTTTTGCAGACTAACATAAGTTCATTTTGCCTATTCTCCAGTCATAAGTTGCATAGTTATGGTTAGTTTAGTGCATAGCTATGGCTAGTTTAATGCATAGCTCAAATCAATTAGTCCTGCTTAAGAAACAGGATGTATTAGCTAAGGTTCAGTTCTGCGCCAAAATGGGTACATGGTTTCACATCAATTTCAGATTTCAGTTAGAGCAGATTTGTATCTTTCCACTGAAAGACGCATAACAGATGGTCCTCTTACGGTGCAAGTAATCTTTTAATGAATACTAAATAAAATTCATAATTTCCTATGGCTAGCAATAAATATCTTCTTAATAGGTTTTCAACCAAGATGTATAATATTTCTGCTATTATAATTCTGTGAGGTAAAGTTTTATATCGTTGTATTTGTCACATTACATTTCTTTTCAATAATTTTTTCCTTGAGTTAGAAGGCATGTTGATCTCATATGCCAAAACAGAAAAACGACAGCCTGTTCACCACTTACATAACTCTGTCTCAGGAACACGTTTGTACACAACCCTCCCTAAGACCACAAGACCCATGCCTGCAAAAGCAAGATGACTCACTTTTTTTTCTCCTGCCATTTGCATTAAAATAATTCACTTGAAATTCCTACAGAATCCTCCATCTAGAAATTTTGTAGGTTATAGCTTATAACAAAAAAATAAAAGTAAAAAGTCATAAATTAAGTCCTCTGCAGCATGGCAGCACTGGAAAATTTTGTCCATGTCATTTGGCAGATGAGGAACATGAGAAATGAACCACCATACCCATCATTAAAGAATTTCTGTGTCATAGAAAGAAGTAGGGTTTAGACAGTGATGCATTTCCAAGGAGAAAGTCTTGAGAGTCAGTAAGTCTCATGGCTGTTAAATAACATTTATGAAGGCAGAGATCTATTTAATATATATTCTTCAGTTTGAGGTAGAAGATTTACTGCATTCTTTATAAGCATTGCAATGAGGAGGCAAGCTTTGGTCAGCTGAAATAATGTTTTAATTAATATCATACAACCCACATGCAAATACCATTAAGACAACCTTTGATAAATAGGGATACTTCATAAATATGGATAAGTTAAATGAGCCTTGCATCTAATGAAGGGATCCAAAAATTAAAACAAGTGTAGGAAAGAGACTTGAATACAGAATTTTTATGTTTAAACCATTAAATGGTTAGTGTAGATTTAGTCACCATCAGGTTGGTCATATTTCTAAATATCCTAACTGCATTTTCCCACTCAGTCTGCCAGTTACAAACATCCTTTTCACTTATGGATTTCTCCTGGCAGGAACTGGAATTTGGACTTGGGCCTCTAATGGCAAGAGTGACCCTAAATCATTCAAATGTTAAAAGGAGATGTCAATGTGATGAAGCTTCTTGTCTTCCTCCTTCTGCCTAGTCATATGTTCAGAGCAGGTAGTTAAGTGATGTTCATATCCACTGCCTTTGAGAAAATAAATTACTGATTTCAAACTTATTCCCTGCACATGTGGAAAAAAAGAAAAAAAAAAAAAAAGGAGAAAAGAATGAAGCTGAAGATATGAAGATACAGCATGGCTGTGTGTTGTTTTTTTTTTGGTTTTGTTTTTTAATGCAATATTAGAACTGAACCCTGCCTTATGATGGCTTTGGCAGTAATTAAAAGGTTTAAATCAGTCTCTTATGTATTTTGGGAAAAAAAAAAAAAAGTAATCTCACACACAAGACTTTTTTGCACTGTGCCTAAACTTGATTGCATGCCTCTTATTGCTGGATGCCACCTGAACCTAAATCCCAGTAGGACATTGGTCAAACCGATGATCTTTTTTTTGCAAAGATAAGAGACAGGGAATGGGCCAGTGTGGGGAACAACTTGGACAGGAAACACTTGTGAATTGCAAGAAGGCATGAAGATCAGAAGAGAGGAGAGGACAGTTGGGCTTGGAATGGCTGAAGGATGAGGTTAGGGCTACAGCTTGACAGCAAACTGCTTTGTGAGAAGGAAGAGAGACGGATCTTTTTTACCATATCAGAGAGGATGCAGAGTAGGACCTGCTAGGGGAAGAAATGAGGACAAATACTTGGTGGGGATCACTGATGATGACTGAGAAACCAGAGTAGGGAAACAAGGACTGCGTTAGTGATCAAATATGGGGAAAAGATGTAAAATGAGGCATACAAGGGAGGAAGAAGGGCATATCTGGGACTAACACAATGACTAAAATCAGTGCATTGTCTAAGAACGGCTATGTAAGGAGCTAGAAGTGAGGGCAGGAAAGTAGGATTAGATAACCAGGTGCAGAGAGTAAGACTAGAAAATTATACAGCAGCAAAGAAGAGAGACCAAAGATGGACAGATTGGAGAAAATGGGGTAGGAGAGCTTGGCAGAAAAGAATGGAAAAGAAATAGGCAAAATAATTTCCATCCATTCCCCACAGAAAGCTCAGAGGGAAGCCTACTGTTCCCATGTAAACGATTAGTACAGACCCGTTCTGCTGTCAGCCAACAGCAGTGAAACAACTTCCCTCTCAACTAGAACACAAACAAGCTGTGACAGAACATTATTTAGAAAGCAAAGCTGAACAAAGTTCTCACACTTTCTAACTTTTGATTATCTGTGGAACTTGAATTTGTCTCTTTAATGAATTAAACTATTAATCTTCAATTATGAGGCCATATTTTCGTTTTTTCCACAGGCTTTCTGCTTATTGACTTTACCATCTTTGGAAAAAGTACTTGACTTTACCATCTCAGTAATCCTTTAATACAGTCCTCCTTCAATAAATAATGAAAGTAAACTGTAATAATAAATGGAAAAAAAAATGCAAGCATTATTTTAGTTGCTAGTTAATTGCTCGTTTAATTAGAATACTCATTAGTTTTCAAAATGCAGACTCTGACAATAGATTTCATGGTCATTAGTACAAATTGGTCAGGTTTTCCTGTGATTTTTTTTGAGTGGACTCTCATGATTTAACTGAGAACCATGTGAAAATTCTCCCAATTAGTTGAAGTGTCTAGGCTGAGAATGAAATAATGTGACCTGATTTTTTTAGTTCTGACCTCTATGGAGTGTTTAAAAGTGTGTTAGGTGTATAGTATAATCACTCTGTAGTGTGTATATCTGAATGCTGGTTTGAGCCGGAGTGTTATTTTGTTATATTCTTTCCCTTATCGTTAGTTTGTGCCTTAACAGCACTTTAAACATTTGAAGAACTCTGCAAATGGGCATTGTAAAATTCCTTCTGGCAGGCATCAAAATGAATGAACTAAAGAGTTCTCAGTAATTCACTATACAATTTAAAATGGCACAAATGTAAGCATTTTATTTTATTGATCATTTTACTAAATTTTCCTGTCAATAGTTTCAACAACTATGACTGCAATACTTTTGTGCTACTTTGGTCATGAAGGAGACATCACAGACAAACTAAAGGTGAGCATAACATAAAAGAAGCTTTCTTCAGGCTCAAATGGAGCAAAAGACATTTGAAAGAAAGCACAGGTTTCCCTGAAACAAAATTTATGGAGATAGTTGGATATTGTATTACGCCAAAGTTAAATACACATTATCTTTAGAGCTATACAGAAAATGAGGTTCCATGCACAGGGAATTCAGATGCTGAACTTCCTTTCTTTTTTTTCCTCTATTATGTATTTCTTCCTCCAAGTTTGGATGAAAAGCTGCAAGAGTGGTTGGTTGATTTTTTTTTCTTTTTTCCTGAATTAAAAATTTAAAACTATATTAATCTGGAATAGTGAAAAAGTGTTCCTCTATGGAATTTATATTTGGCCTTTTTTTGCTTTTGTAGAAGTTGTCTGTTTTGTTTGTTTGTTTGTTTGTTTTCCCTATAAAATAATCTATTAAAATAAAATTTCATTTTCTGCAAGAAGAATGTTGTATCCAAACATATTATCTTAGCTATACTTTAACTAAATATGGAATTTTTGTAAAACATACTAACTCTGCTTTTGTATGTGCTACACACAGCTCACCATCAGCTATATTGAATCACTGATGCCCACCAGTGAACGCCAAAAGCAACTGATGCGCCAGTATTGTTTTGAATGTGACTGTCATCTCTGCCAGGATCATGAAAAGGTAGGTTGGACAAAGAAATTCCTTGTCAATAAAACAGAATTTTCCAGAATTTGCCTGTCGGCACCTTCCCTTACTTTATGTAATACTTATCTTTTGTTACTAAATGAATGGTCAGAATACAGCGAAAAAAATTACCTCTGCCCTCAGTCCTGTTTATGTTTCTATGAAAAGCAACCATGAAGGAAAGGAAAGCAGGAGATGTTGACCACATGATAAGAAGACGTTTTTGCTAAAATATGCATTCTTCATAAAGCTAGGAACCACTTTCGGTTCCAAAGTGTGGTTCAGATTATTATGGGATTCAAGGACCTTCGAGAATGAGAGTCAACATAACTTTAAGATCAAAGGAAAATATTTGGTTTTTGCTATTCAAAATAATAATATTGGAGCTGAAACTACTTCTCTGATGCTAGAGGAAGGCTGTGCTTATCCTCCTAATAATGTTAAATTAATTTTGACGAACACCTACATCTATAAATTCTCAAGAACTACCAGACATGTTCAGGAGTTGTTAGAGCTAGGCTACGTTCAGGGTGGTGAATCTCCCTGGACAACTATTTGTTGCTTTTGTGCTCTTGTTTGCAAGTTCTTGGAGCAGCATGTCAGTAGCTGCAGTAGGTAAAATTGTGTTTGTTGTGACCTTTAATTAGAGTTCAGCCTAGCCTGGATTAATTATTTTCTGGGTTCATTGCTTCATATTTACATAGCCCAGCCAGACTAATTCTGGGCTCCAAGCCTGAGGTGAGATCAAATAGAATATGCTAAATGATGCCAGCTTCACATCTACTTTGTCTCTCTGGTTATATGTATGCTTGTTCCTATTTTCAGAAATGTCTATTTTGGATGAATCAATATGCCATAGCTAAATGTGCTTTAAGTAGATCAGAGATAATATGAAAGACATCAGTGAAAATGTGATTCCAAGGAGCATGGTTTGATTCATAAAGTAATTGCTGTACTGCAAAAAGATTTAAAAAAAAAATGAAAAATTAACTGCCAACATTTAAAAACTTAAAGGGAGTACAGTTGTATGAGTGCATAATTTTGTTCAAGCCAGGGTACACCAATTAAATACATAATGTATCCTTTGATTCATCAGTAAGCAGTTCAAAAAAGAGACAACAGAAAAGTTCCAGGCTTATGACATAATACTAAATGACTTCCTGTCCATGTGCAAAAGTTGTTGGCATTTTGTGCCTGATAAAGATTGCTGCACTGCTGTTTGGAGGCAGTGAAGGGAAGCAAAGACCTCTGTTTGTCTTTCTTTTAAAGATGCTCACTCAAGTGCCATGAGATCTCAGATTAGTTTTGGGGAAACACAGATGCAGTGATGATTAAGAAACATAAGCATGCTAAAGAGTCTTTAAGGATTGCTTAAAAGTCTGTGGAAGGGGAAGCAAGTGGTGGAAAGACCATTCAGCACGTAGAATGTTTTAAGAAACAAGATCCATAGGTTGGCATACACATCACTGTAAGAGCCAATGTACCACATCTACAAATATTGTAGTGAAATTATAATTGTAGTGAAATTAATTTGTACTTATAGTAATAGTTTCATCAATATATTTAAATTAAGTAAAGATTTTTTTTCTTCTAAATTTTTAACTGTGGTTTGAATTCAACAGATTATTATTATTATTATCTTTTAGCAAAATTCTCTGTGGGGATGATACTGCAAAGTGTTTGGAAAGCTCCTTCTGATTTAATTCTGAAATTCTGTAAATTTTTATCATTGTTACCATGTAAACACATCTTGGAAAGGCAAGGAATCTCACGTCAACATTGTTGATGTCTGTGAAGACACAAGCCTTTTATCCTTAATTTCAGTTTAGGATGATTATATCTAATCTCCAGTAATCCTCATAGTACTGCGTTTCATTGTTCTGCAGCAGAGATTTAATCACTTAACTGTTTACATGACTTACTTGGAAACAGATACTTTTCTTCCATTGATTTCAGACTATGTAAGATGGGAGACATCTAACACAGAAGCTACAATGGCAGAGAATCTTATTTGTTTGTTTGTTTTGGTTGGTTGGTTGTGGTTTTTTTTTGTGTGTGTGTCTGTTCTGTTTTGTTTTTGAAATTACAGAATGGCTGGATTTAAATGCCTTAAAGTAATCTGTTGGCAACATTATTCAATAATATAATTTCTGAAATGCCATGGATATTGACACAACTTCTCAAGATACCTTGGGAACTTTTTAAAAGGTGCAGTCTGTCAACAGAAAAGGCAATGGCTGCAGCTTTGGGTCATCAAGAGTGGAATATTCAACACTGAGTCAATAAGTAATGATAGCTTACAGTAATTTTCTGTATTACAATGTTGCTTTGTAAATATGATGGGCATCATCAATAGCAATCTAGTTCCTAAATCTTTGTTATAAATAAAAATGCAAGTTGGAGTTTGGCTAAGAAATGCTATAGGCCTTCAAGTAAGTTATTCATAACTTACTTGAGTAAGTTATATACATGTATATAAGTATATATAAGTAAGTATATATACATATATAAGCTGTTTTTATTTCCCTTCATTTTTCCCCATTTATTTTCCAGTTGTAATTATCTCATAAAAATGCTAGCATTCCCTTTATAACATTGTAGATTGTAGCTTTTCGCTACTCCCAAGTTCTAGACTCGCTGAGTACACCTGCCAGCTGCTGAGCATCTACTAGAGACCAGTGATAGCAGACAAACCACTCTTGAGATGCACACATCCATTTAAAGCAGAACTACAGATCAAATCCTTTCCATTGTAGCTTTTATTCTACATCTAATGTAATTATTTAAAAGTAATCCTGAAAAGTCTGTTTAAAATACATTAAAGTTTATATGAAGAGCATATAAACCTTGTATGTATTTGTTCTTTCTTATTTATACAGTACTTTACAAGTTTGTTATTAATGAAATTCATGTCTCTTCTGTTAAATTTTCTAAAAACTTGTTCTTTAGTCATCTTCTGTGCTCAGCTGAAGAAGGAAGATGATGGTATCAGGTTTCTGTTCTCAGGTCAGTCACTGACTTCACAAGTGACCTTGAGTAATCCCTTTCATTCAAAAGCAATCTTACTGTTTTCTAAGACCTTGCCCTTATTTTTCATAATTAGTGAGAAGCTACCATTTTAATTGGAGCTGGCCATATTTTTCACTAAAAACAAGACCAGTCTGTCTGAATTGGGGATAATTTTTAATGAATATTCTGTCATGCTCTGTTTTGCTCAGTTTCCCCATATGCCACACGAAGATTGGAATTCTTAATTCTGCTGAGTATTCTGATGTACAAATAATGATAGAGAAAGATGCTGCATTTTCCAAGATCCTTTAGCTTTGAGTGCTGGATTTGCTTTAATAATTCCTTGAAGTGGAATGATTTGAGGTTTGTGTCTTTTCTACAGTTCTCATTCTCATCTGGTTATTTTAGCAGTATTAAAAAAAAAAAAAAAAAAAAAAAAAAAAGTCGTATTTAACCTCAGAGAGAGCTATGTGAACAAATAACAGGTTTAGCCTACAGAATGCTATTAGTTTCTCCCATTTCATTTAGAGATCTAATCTAAGCCAGTTTTTAGCCTGCCTCCATATCCAAAGAGATGGGCAACTCATTCATACACTCTTGTAGTAGCCATCTATGAGAACTAGATTGGATACAGAAGGCTAAAGGAAAGCCTTCAAACAAATATCCACATGTTAGACAGATGAAGTTAGGTGAGATAAATTATGTTGCTCCATAAAGTATGTATAAACACAAAATCAAGAATTGCATGATTGTCTGCCTGTGCTAGCTGACAGGGATAGCACAGTGTAGTTGCACCTACATAGGTTTCAGCACCCTACCACTCACATTGTGGGCAAAAATCTGTTCACACAGATCACTTTGAGCATTTGTTTGTGATTGCTACTGTGGACATATTTATCTTACAGCCAGTTTTACCATTTCTTCACTGTTATTTGTGCTAAAATTGATTAAAGTAGGATAGTGGTTGCATAGTATAACAGTCATGCAGTTTAACTGTGCATAGAATCGTTTAGGTTGGAAAAGGCCTCTAAGATCATCTGATCCAACTTTTAACCTACCACTGCCAAGTCCACCATTAAAGCATGTCACTAAGCACTACGTACAAACAAGAGTAGCATGTCAAACTGCTCTTTTGCCAATCTAGGTTATGTGATTTTGCCAGGACTTTTTTTTTTTTAATTATTATACCAGGTTTCTGATGAGCTATGATTTAAGGTGCAGCATGTCTGTCGAGACATTTTTTTCATTTGTCATTTACGTGTAGTATAAATACATGTAATATTTTGTGCCTTAGCTGTATAAAACAGCAAAATTCACTCTGACACCACCAGTGACTTTCACATTCACAGTCACTTTGTCTTTATGGTGAGGTGTGGCAGCTTCTTCTCTAATTGCTGGCAAATTACAGTTTACTTGCACATTTGTTTAGATCTAAGTTTATTATATGTCGAAGTCCACATCTTCAGGTATACTTACGCAGCACCCTATCCACAGTGATCCTGTTCAGCTGCAGCTGATGCATGCTGACGCCCTCAGGGTGAGCAGTCATAGTGCTAGAACAAGTGGAGAGGTCCTTGGCTGCACAGATGCCCTGCCATTAACTATTGTGGGAGCTAATGTTCCTCACTGCTGTTGAGAGGACTTCATGATGAATCTCTGCTTGCATTAGTTGTTTTCTGTGTGCTTGTCCCACTGCCAGCACAGCCATGGACAAATCCAGGTGTCTAGCTGTCATCAAGGGTAAGAAAATAGGCAGGGAAATAGTGGCAGCTAGCTCTAGCTTTGGATCTCAAATGATTAGGCCCCAATGTCAGCTGCTTGTCAACTCTAGGAGGTAATACCATAATGCTGGCCAGTCTCTTTCGGCAACTGGTTCAGCAGCCTGGTTGCTGATTTAACAGGAGAAGAGAAGCATGTGCTAACACACTAGTGTAAACAGGTTAAGGTAAGATTAGGACGATCCTTTTGGCAGCACGTTCTGCCCAATT